ACTAAGAAAAAAACAGAGGAAGAGAGAAAATTTGTGTCACTAACCGTGTCCCAGATCTGTAGTTTTATTGGTTTGTTGTCTATTGTGATCATTCGAGCCCCGAATTCAACCCCAATCGTCAGGTCATGGACAGGTTGAAACCGTTTGTCCGTAAATTGCAAAAGAAGACATGATTTTCCAACTCCTGTACAGAGAAATATTATATCCTTATAAGTGATGTCTCACACAAGACTTAGTAACTTATGCATGGACATGGACATGGACATCACATGACAGAATGTAATATTTGTAAGAAATGACCTTTCGAAGAGGGGGAGGGAGGGGTTGCACTAATACATGACACAGCAAAAACTAAAAGAGTTAATACCCTAAAAACCCCGAAGACCCGAACTACAACTTTTTGTCTGTTATGTACTTAAACTATCGTGTGTCCCCAAAATCTCAGTGACAACCAAACAATTAATATTGATAAAATCAGGCAAAAATGTTGAAACTCTAGTTTCCCTTGATATCATGATGATAAAGCACCAATTTTCGCCAGAAAAAAAAAATCATTTCCTTCTGAAATGATCAATTGCAGAAATATCATGAATATATGATTGGTTGTCTACTACTACATCATGAATATATTACAGGAAGTGCAAAAACACTAAATTAACATCACTGGTTACCAAAATAATACAATACCTTTTAATTAGAGAAACTACTAATCAGATGCAAAATATTAAAAAACAATTACAGCTAGTGCTAAACAATTAAATTAGCATCCCTGGTATCCAAATTACACAGAACCTTTTAATCAGATGCAAAATCATTCAAAAAAAAAACAAACAAACTCAAACTCGTTGAAAAACAAAACGAAGTTAGTGAATAAAATTGAAGAAAAATAAAAACAAGAGATGAAAATTACCGGTATCACCGATGATAATATATTTGAAGAGATAAGCGTACGACATGGTTTACCGATACAAAGGGAAAGAAGGAGATCTGAATAGAGAGAGGACTTGATAAATTCTATTGTGAGCTGGAGAAAACGACAGAATAATAATAATAATAATAAATAATAATAATAATAACAATATACAAAATCCTCCTAATAATTTGAAGGTGAAAACAGGTAATTAGTTCTATAAAAGATTTTGGAGAGCCTCTCTATATTTCATCTTCTTCTCCCTTATGGTGAACGCGGACGGAAAGACAGAATTTGCAGAGGCTTTTGGAATATTCACGTTAGTTACTGCTTACTCCTATATTCATGGAAGGAGAAAAGGACAAAAATATTCCCTCATGTTTGGAGTAGGTTTAAAATAGTCTCTTAAGTATGCTCTTGATTAATATGGATCCTTTAAATTTACCAAAAGTGAATAATTTGGTCCCTATCAAGATTATGTTTATTAATCACCACTTTGTGAGGCTTGATACACAAGTCATCTCCAAAAGAGTAAGTTTCAAGTATCTTGGGTCAGTAATCCAAGTTAATAGGGAGATTGACGAGGATATTGCACATTGTATTGGAGCGGAGTAGATGAAATAGAGGCTCACATTTGGAATCTAGTGTGATAAGAATGTGCCACCACGACTTAAAGGTAAGTTAAACTGAGTAGTGGTTAGACCGACTATATTTTATTTACCAATTAATGTTTAGATAAAAGTCCTTTCCGGCATCATCCCATTCCGAGGATGGAGTATTGGTTAGTCAAGAACTATCATGTCCAGAAGATGAAAGTAGCAGAAATAAGGATGTTGAGATGGATATGTGGGAATACTAGGAGAGATATGCTCAAGAATGAAGATATTCGGAATAAGGTGGGATGGCCTCCGTGGTGGACAAGATGCTAGAAGTGAGGCTAAGATGGTTCGGACATGTGAAGAGGATGCATAGATGCCCAATGAGGACGTGTGAGAGATTAACAATGGCGATTCTGAGATCATCACATTTGAAGTGATATCACAAGAACAAATCATTATAACTACCCATAACTTTCAAAAAGAACACTCTGTACGTTGTATTCTTGATTGCTTTGATAATATTAGTGATAGGTTTAAACTTTCAACTTCCAGAAAAAGAACCCAAGAAATATTCGTGAGTCTGCACCTAATAAAGTAAAATCCTCAAGTGAAAGAACCTTCTCAGTAGGTTTCAAATTTTTTCTTGAATCCCAAAATAGTGCTTTTACTATGGAATGCAAATTAAATTGTGGGTAAAGTGTGAGGCTGAGGATTATTCTACTTAGCAACAAATTATTCTATGTATCCTTTAGAACATTCAACTAAACGTAGTTAGAATTTAAGAAGTCTAAAAAGGAAATGTCTTAGGAATAAGCTAATTAAGAAGCTAAGCTATATCAATCAACAAGTAACTTCACCCAAATCAAAAGTCTAGACACTTCTTATAGTAGCACCTTCATCAAAAAGTTTTTCTAATTTGACTAGGATGGTACCAATCATTTTATTGCCAAAAACAAGCTACAAAGTTTTGAAATGAACTTGAGGTAACTAGTCAGTAAACACAATAAACTAAAAGTAGTAGCATATACTCAATTCTCTAAGTACAACAAAACTACTCACTAAAAACTATAGATACTAACTAGATATTAACTAACACAAAGCTATTTAGTTAGACGGGATCTTCATTCGCCTCACTTAGCAAGTATTCATTTGACTCCCTAAGTGTGATGCCTTAATGTTATGGCAAAATAGCATGTGGGAGGTTGCCGACTAAAACGCACCAGCCACAATAGCAACAGATGGTACAAAAATGAGTATTTTTTTATACCGTCAATTGTACATGTCACTAGATGGCATTTGAGTCAACCTCCTCTGCATCATTTTTTAATCTCTTAAGAGCTTCTATGATTTCTTCATTGTATCTTCATCCACCATTTGCATCCTATTCTCCTTTCGGCATCCCAATTCGACATTCAGCTGCTCATTTTTGTGCATTCAAGGACTCTATTGAGTAGGTAACTGAGTTTAACGTGATAGTTTAGGAGGGTTTTAGGTATTCACTCAATAAAAACAATGCGGTGTGATATCAAAGAATATGGTTACGGCAGTGACCACAATTTTAAATGCATTACCAGCTTTATGTTGTAACCTCGAGTCCTCTTCTTGTACAGTATAAATGTTGTGTCTAATTCTTGAAACATGTATGTTATTCTTTTAAGATTCTTAATAATCTAAAATAGTGCTACAGTCTTCACCTTTTCAGTGATAATCGTAGCTGAATATTAAGGGCAGCTCACCTAAAGCTACATTTTAATAAGCATTCAAATTTTATATATCTTTACACACACATGCTTAAAATTTAATGTTGTCTTTTCATTCTTACAAGATATAATACTTTTAATCTCACATATTATTATTTATAAGCAAGGATTAATTCAAGTTAATAACATATAATAAGTCATGTATTTGCAATACATTACTTTGGATCTTATTGTAAAAGAGTTTATTTACTAATATGGAGATTTTATAAGTTTGATTTAAAGTTCTAAAATATTCTAATGTTAAAAAGGGAAAATTATTTGTTTTTTAATTATTTATACATATTTTGTATCCTTTTTACAAACTTTAATATTGTCTAACCGAAAATATTATTATGTATTCCGCCATTAATACTTTTTGAGACCTCAAAGTTTTAAAAGGCCTAAATCAAAGGCTTTACTATCCTCACCCTTGACCCTTGAACCACCCCTGAATATCAATGTTTGTTTTTAAAACATGACAACAAATGTTTGGATGTCACAATTTTGCATGAGCATTGGCAGATAAAATTATTTGGTGCTTGTGCAGGCAGGAGGTGGTACACACTAGATAAAATCAGGGGCAAAACTAGTCTTACGGTTGCAGGTTTGGCCAAACTTAACCAAGTAACCAAATCCGAACTATGTATTTATTTTAAGAAATTCATAAAATATATATAAATTATTTATTTAGAATCCAAAGGACAAAAACTTTGAACTCACAAGTTTCAATCTCTAATTCCGCCTTTGAATGAAATATTTCAATGCAATTTAATTCGAACACCACTTTTAAGAAAAAAATAAATCAAATCTAAAAAGTGTGATATGCTCAAATTTTGAATCGTGAAAGGGAAAAAAAACTCAAACTCGTCAAAAAACAAAGGGAAGTTAAGGAATCAAATCGAACAAAAATAAAAACAAGAGATGAAAATTACAAAATCCTCTTAATTATTTGAAGGTGAAAAGAGGTAATTAGCTTTATATATGGAGAGCCTCTCTATAATTTTAATGAGGGATAGGATTCGCAGAGGCTTTAATTTACGTTTCCTCATGTTTAGAATAGGTTTAAAATAGCCCCTTAAGTATATTGTTAAACAGGGTCAGTCCTTCAAATTTATCAAAAATGAACATTTTGATCTCCATATTTTTCAATCAAGTTGATCAAAATCTTTTATACCAATTTCTTATCTTCAATTACTTCTCCATGTAAACTTCTTTGATTTGCAATCTCAACAACTCTAGAAAAATATTCTTTCAAACTTTCTCCTGAAATTGCCACATAGCCTAGTAAAAAACTGTCACATCATTAAACTGAAGGTCCACATGGGCAATTTTATTAATAAAATTAATGTCATGTATTTTCTTGGAATGATAGATAGGCAGAGGATATCTGCAAACCATTTAGCAAACGACATGTGTAATTTAGCCCTTTTCCATACTTAAGTATAAGAAGGTACGGGGATAATATTGATACTACAGGTACGAAAAAGAAATACGCTCGACCATCTACTAGCCTTCTACCCTAATTTTTTACCTCCACATCCTCCTATCAAAGGTCGTGTTCTCGGTAAGTTGTGTCATGTCCTGCCTTAATTATCATATTTTTCCAATTCTTCTTTGGCCTATCATGATACCTATTTTCTACAGATTTAAGTCAAAAAAACTACGCACAAACTGGTTGACTTGCTTAATTGATCGTTGGAAAACAATGCAGAAGCAAGATACATGACTATCATGATACCTTTTGAAGGAAAAAAAACCAACCGTAGGCATAGATTTCACCAAGAGAGCAAACAAAATAATAGGTTTATCTCATAAAGGACATACACTGAAAAGAGTACTTAACACAATCAAATGTTTTATACAATAAAAAAAAGGCAAGCCGGTGCACAGAGGATCCTGTATTCACATAAGGTCACGGGAAGGACAACACGCTAAGGGGGTGTGATGTAAGCAGCCTACCTTGACGCGTCTAACCCATGCGCTCCCAAGACTCCCCTTCAAATGTTTTTATACATGAATTTGACAATTTAAGATCAACCACAAACATATGCGGACATCTGCAATTACGCCCTTCGTCTGCGATTCTCCACATGCAATTTCCTCAATAAAATGGGCGATTACTCTTCTTGCCAAAGATGCCACGCCCATAAGTCGAAGAAATCAAAGCAGCAAGGAGAGGAAACTGCATAAGCACAAAGGAGATGATAGGTAAACAAGCAAGTGTAGCCACAGGTACAAGAACATATGATTTCCTCTGTCCGGACACAAGATACACTGTTGCACTGAAGCTAAGCGTCATGAGTGTTATGGAGAGAAATAGTGTGAACAAACCCAGAATTAGACTTCTAGGCAAAGCATAGAGGAAATCTTCTTCTGCATAACGGGATGTCAGAACGGACAAAAACACTAACATAGAGGTACTAGAAGCGAATAGTGATGCTGCATTTGAGACGGCGAAAATGCTGAAAGCACTGTTTCTGGAGAAAATGGGGAGTCCACTTTCATTGTCGTTTCCACCTGGAACTGTAATTGCTGCTGCAAATGCGATGGTAGCAACGAGTGCTGCTGCAATTGTGCACGAATTTGCTGTAGCTTTCATCCATTCCTCTCCGTTTATCTTCAACTCAGCATGTTCCTTAGTAAATACTTCGGCAGGAATTTTATCCTCATTATTGCCAAATTCCCAGTAAGAAGGCGGTACAAGCTTCTTTACTGCCTATACAAGATCGTTATGCAATGTTAGTGAAGATCTGCTGCCACAAGGGTTCTTTCTTTCTATGTGGCATTTGCCGAAAAGTATAAAATAGTTACTACTCCATAATACTACTAGGGTAAAATGACAGAAAAGGGAAGTGCATCAGAGAAGTTGAAAAATTGAAAATGAGATTATTTAACTGTAAAATAAGGTTCAGACACGCGGTAGCTCTACAAACAAACTTGTTTAGTTTAGAAATGAGTGGTCAAATCCTAAACGTTGCGCTTAAAGTAAGTTATTGAATGGCGCATATTAATCCACAAGAACTATGGTGAGTGGTACATGTCCAACAATTAGCACGTCCAATACTTACGAAACACACTTGCACATTTGACATTGGTGTAATCTATGGTAACAAAATTCTTCCGCTGACAAGCTAAGAATAAAACTGGATTAGATCTGGAAGAAAAACTATGTATATTTACACGTAATGGCGTAAATTTAAAAAGTGCAGGAGTACAATGAAGTTATATTTACCTTAAACCACTGTAATTCTCGTTGCATATGAAGAGCTGGTCCAGAAACGAGGTTTAGTTTATTTAGTGGCGCCAGTTTTCCAGCCAAATGCAGCATGGTATTGCGGGACGAGTCTATTGAAATCATCAACTGATGCCTATGCTGACTCATCTGATAAACCAAGTTAAACACGTTTTCGCAGCGATGCTCTATTGCAATGTGAAATATATTCTTGCCACTTCTGTCGGTAAAGTGAACTAATGAAGGAAATTTTCTCACAATAATTTCAACAAGCTCATAGCTTCCATAGCGTGCTGCTTCAAGAAGAGGACGGCTAACAATTGAAACAACTTCTTCGTGACTCAAACTCTCTATTTTCTCACATAGGCATTCTGCAAGCTTAAGTGCATTGTAATGTTTTTTGTTGTGTTTCAAAGGAGGCGCTGCAATGCATGATCAGACGTCAGATGATGAGCAAAACCTCGATGTGTTTAGCTTTTTGGGAGGTAAAGTAAAACGATCACTACAAATAGGGATAAAGTTAAATTCACCAAATAATATATGTATGAATGGGAAATGTGAATGACTTTTTATTTAGTAGTACTACCTACGAGGAATTAATTTTATCTCTAAACTACATGCCATCGAATTAGAATGACATTATTTTCTGACAAATTTGAAAAATAGACATTCCGTTAAAGGAGTGATGTATCATTTCCACTTTATATTTGAATAGCAAGGTATATAAGAAAGATAAATTTCTTTATGAAATAAGGAACAGTATATTGGGATAGCAGGAAAACTTACCTATTTTTATAAGAACATCAAACAGAAGGGCACCCAACTTCTTGATCGCTGAACGGAGACCAAGTTATTTATTAGTTTAACACTGTGTATAGAAATGCATGTCATCAAGTAAGTGATTTTTAGTACTTCGGTTAATTCATTTTCTCTTCCTTTTTGTTTTTCTCCTTTTGAGAATGTCTCTGCCTTCAAAATGTGTTGTGGACATATCTCTTGGAACAAATTCATATTCCTCGAAAGTTGAAGGAAAAAGGAAAGATAATAAGACTCACCAGTAATGAAGTAAATCCTTTGATAAGACTCACCAGTAATGAAGTAAATCCTTTCACAAATTGGTGAAAGCCAGCAGCTTTTTGGCTTTAACATTTGTCGTTCATTGGTTACATTCTCGATGTCATTTGGTATTCTTTTGTGTGTGACCTCTTCAAGTTGACCTGATGGGAACATCTTAATTATTAAGACAAATGAATTTAAAAGGTGATTACATAAACACGAGTTCATTAAAGCTTTTTTCTTTCTTTTCACAGGAGGAGGCCAAGGAGGTTACTCACACAAGAAGAACAATCGTTGCCAACAGTTTAAACCACTCCCACTTCGTTGCCAACAGTTTAAACGACTTCCACTACGGAATGCAAATTCCTTCATGGCAAGCTCCTTCAAAGCAGACGATCTTTCATCTGTGTCATTTTTTGCCAAATCAGGATGCTTTGTGACCAACTCTGTAGCGAAATCTGCCATTATACTTGCTAAATATTAGAGTAGGTAATAAGCTGAAATGATATATACAATCAAACTTCTCTAAAACAGTCATCCTCTATAACAACACTTCACTATAACGGCTAAATTTTCTTTAGAACCAACAACATATATGTTCTCTACAACAACACTTCGCGATAGCAGCAAAAAATGTGTGGACAAATGACGCCATTATAAAGAGGTTTGACTGCATTAGATATATGTATATATAAGATTGGGACTATAAATTATCTTATAGTATAATCGATCAAATGAATCATTCGAGACGGAACTTGTGAAATGTAGAATAAAATTGTAAGTAAGAGATAAGATGTGCTCACCATACATATCAGAATGGATTAATCGACGGAGAAGCCTAATACCACTGGAGCCTGTATAAGAATCAAGGACTGTAGTGACACCCAAAAGATAAGTATACACATCCATAGAATTGTATCCATATTCAGCTGCATCATGGATTGGATAAAGACCATCGCAACCAATATTAGGCAAATCCTTATTTCGGGCAACAAGGAGTTTAGCTGCATGTAAGTTTCCAAATCTAGCAGCATAGTGAAGAGGAGTGCTCCCAAGACAATCTGTCATATCCAACGGATCGTCCTCCATCGAGGCCACCAACTTCTCGACGAAATGCTTGGCATTATCATTCTTTGCGCCAACCGCGACGTGTAGTGCTGTCTGTAAGAAGGAGTTGAGCGGAGCTCTGCTTGCGTTGTTCTCTCGATTGAAGAATGCTTCTGCTTTCTCCCATGTTCCATCCAGTGAAGCTCTGTATAGTGGCAAGTACCGGTTGTAATCTTCTTCATCACTATCTTCTGTAAAATCACAAATCCTCATTATTTTATTATATGCAATCTTTTTTTTATAACCATAGTGTCCGGACCAACTTGTGCGCACCTCTATTAATTCTACAGGGTACCTGCAACCTCTCACCAGCACAAATACTGGATAACTCTACTCACCAAGGCTATTATATGCAATCTATTATATTGCCCACTGTTACCAATCCCTTTTAAGTAACTTTTTAAAAGTTATAATATGTAAATTCTGTTTTAAACTAATTATACTGCTTTATCTTTACTTTAAATGATGATATATCTTATTCCACATTATGATTTCACAAGACAATTGACTGGTGCTTTTTAATTGCAACACTTATATCTTACTCTTTCTAGCTACGGGTTTAGCATAACCCAATACTTTTGGCCAAAATCCTATATTTGTATTAAGAAATCCCTTTGAAAATGTACAAATAATTTATCCAGAACCCAATAAGTTGCTTTTTCTAGAATCTAGAACCCATCAATTCAACATTCTAGATCAGTCTTTGGCCTCTACATAATTTTTAATAGCGTGATGTCTTTCCCATTTTTAGTCTATGTTATTGGGTTTGCACATATAACAAACTAATTTATGGAGTAAAATATGTAAACAAATAGTCATAAAACATGTCAGTTAAGTAACATAGGATAATGAAAGAATGATAAAAGTGGGACAACAACAAAAATAAGTGTTGCACCCAAGGGTGTAAACTAGTGGTTCGTGAAACTATGGCGAGAACCATGAGGTCTCAGTTTCAAATCCTAACAAAGGCAAAAATACTAGGTGCACCTAAACTGACTCGGAAGAAATAAGCCTTGCAGCCAAGGCTTAACTAGTAGTCTAGTAGTCAGTGAAGTATGTTCAGAACCATGAGGTCTCAGGTTCAAATCCTAGCGAAGGCAAAAATACTAGGTAATTTCTTTCCATCTGTCCAGGCCTTGGCGAACAGAGTTATCCGATACTTGTGCCGGTGGGAGTTAGCATGCGTCCCTGAAATTAGTCGAGGTGCGCCTAAATTGACTCGGAAAAAATAAGCCTTGCATTGAAGGCTTAACTAGTAGTCAGTGAAGTAAGTTGAGAACCATGAGGTCTCAGGTTCAAATCCTAGCGAAGGCAAAAACACTAGGTAATTCTTTTTTTTTTTTTTGATTTGCACCGGGTGTCCGAGTCTCTAAGAGCCCCGACTAATCCCAGGGGTGCACAGGCCCTCGGCAAGGAGTTTCCCGCAAGTGCACCACGGTTAATTCAAGTTTTACCCAGTCCGATAGCAACTAGGTAATTTCTTTTCATCTGTCCAAGCCTTGGCGAACAGAATTATCCGATACTTGTGCTCAGTGGCAAACAGAGTTATCCGATACTTGTGTTGGTGGGAGTTAGCACGCGTCCCTGAAATTAGTCAAGGTGCGCCTAAATTGACTCGGAAAAATAAGCCTTGCATTGAAGGCTTAACTAGTAGTGAGTGAAGTAAGTTGAGAACCATGAGGTCTCATGTTCAAATCCGAGCGAAGGCAAAAACATTAGGTAATTTCTTTCTATCTGTCCAAGCCTTGGCGAACAGAATTATCCGATACTTGTGCTCAGTGGCGAATCCAGGAAATTCAACAAGGGTGTTCAAATTTTGAACATCTTTTGTCGGTAGGCTATGCAAGGGTGTTCAGAGTCTATTTGTTAATCAAGAACAAATAATATTTTACCTTATACATAGTATAATTTTTCGACGAAGGGTGTTCAGTTGACCACCCTTGGGCCAACATAGCTTCGCCCCTGCTTGTGCTGGTGGGAGTTAGCATGCGTCCCTGAAATTAGTCGAGGTGTGCCTAAACTGACTCGGAAAAATTAACCCTTGCATCCAAGGCTTAACTACTCGGTGAAGTATGTTGAGAACCATGAGGTTTCAGATTCAAATCTAAGCAAATCACAAACACTAGGTGATTTCTTTCTATCTGTCCAAGCCTAGATGGACAAAGTTATCCGATACCTGTGGGAGCTAGCAGGTGTCACCGGAATTAGTCTAAGATGCACGCAAACTGAACCGGACATAATGGTTATAAAAAATAAAGGAACAAAAATAAGCCTAACCTTCAAATTTAGGATTGCAAATATGGTCCAACTCCAACCAAACATCTCTTGCAGTAGCTTTATCCAGCACATCTCGAAGAACTTGTTCAGTAAGAGAGCCAAGAATCAATCCTTTAACAAAACGGTCACTCTTTTTCCACTGCAAGTAATCTAACCCATCAGTTTCTAGGGTTGATGTGATTGTTCCATCGACAAAACCAAGTAATTCTTGACTTTCAAGCAGACAAACTATCTGTGCTTTCCATAGACTATAATTTGATTTTGATAGCTTTATTGACACAAAATTTGCTTCATTTACTGTTAATAAGTAGCGGTTTGGGATCTCAATTGCCATAGAAGATGCAGAAATATCTTATACAGTTGTTCCTGCTTGTTGAGGAAATGAAAAAGACAATAGGTCCACTCAAAAGCTTTAATTTTAACCAAAGGACTGTGACAGTAATCCACTTGAGAATCTAAATTTTCCTTTTTGTGCCTATTCTTTTCTCTTTTTATTTTATGTAGAATATCCTATGTGCCTCTCTACGTGCATTACATAGGGGTGAGATCCGGATACAGACTACCCTTCGAAACCCCACCTGAATCATACTGATTTTGTTGTTGTTGTTATTGTAAAATATCCTATGTGGCATTATAAATAACAATAATAAATGGGGTCCGGGGAGGGCGGGTGTACATAAACCTTACCCCGATTCTTATATGAGGTAGAAAGGTTGTTCTTGATAGACTCTCAGTTCAGGACAAGTGTTTAAAAAATACAAGAATAAAAAAAACAAAGATGAAAATACCGAAGAAAAAAAGGTACGAGGTAGAAAGGCTAGTTCCAGTAGACTTTGAGCTTAAAATAAGTGTTTGAATCTAACTTTGAGAATCTAACTTTCCCTTTTTGTTCCTTTTCTTTTCACTTTTTATTTTAATATAGAATATCCTAAATGGCATTGTTAACAACAATAATAAATGGTGTCCGAGGAGGGTGGAGTGTATACAGACCTTACCCTTACCTTATATGAGGTAGAAGGATATTATCGATAGACTCTCAGCTCAAGAAAAGTGTTTGAAAAATACAAAAGTAAAAAATTTAAGACGAAAATGCCGGGAAAAAAAGGTAGGAGGTTGAAAGGCTATTATCCTTAGCTCAAGACAAGTGTTTAAAAAATATAAGAGTGAAATGAAAATACTGAAAGAAAAACAAATAGCAACAATAAAAGAGTAACATGTCCAAGGTAAAAAATAAAAAATAAAAACAATAGTGATTGTTATAAATATATATTATATTATGGATGTTCATTTAGTACTCCGTTGTAAATAAGTATCCTGAAGAAGCTTATCTATATGGGAGTCCGCCGTAAATATGGTTATCTATTTAGTACTCTATTGGAAATAATACTCCTGAAGAAGCTTATCATTTCGGTACTTCGTTATGGATAATATTATCCCTAGTAGAAGATTATCTATATCTGGTACAGTAGCAGCTTACAAGCAACTTACAAGAATCTTACACAGCAGCTTGCAGTAGCAGCTTACACAGCAGCTTGCAGTAGCAGCTTACACAGCAGCTTCCTTTCTTCTATAAATAGAGGAGATTTCAGTTCATTATGTACGTGAATTTGAAGTTGAATAATAAATCTCTCTCTCTCTCTATACTTGTCATTGATTTATTTACTTTACAATCTTTATTTTATAAGACGTTATCAGCACGAGACTCTGCCATTTTGAGCACTTACTTCAAATTTAATTTTTATTTCGGTGTTCATCTCAGATGTAAGGCGACGCTCTTACATCCGTGGTTAGATCTTGTTCACTCCGAGCATCATAGGGGAGATTATATCCTTGAGGTGGTGAGCTTTTCTTCTTGGCGGTAGAGATGTGGCTATCACTTACGTCTGGATTGGCCAAATTTGTGTAATGTAACCTGAGTCTTTTGCTTATATTTGGTTTAGTATCTTTATCATCGCTTGCTTGGTTATATGCTACGTATATAGTACCTATTTTGGTATTTATTTTCTTCATCCTAATTATCATAATAAAGGATTATAAAGTGGATAACATTGTTAGATCCACTTAAACTCCAGCAGAGTTTGCAAGGAATATATAACCACCAGAAGTGATTATGTTTTGTATATCTCATTGTAACTAAATTTTGTTAACCACCAGAAGTGGTATATGCCTATAACCACCAGAAGTGATAATTTAGGCTTTCTATGGTTACAATTGAAGATAAGTTAGAGAAAATTTCTCTATATTACTTGCATGCCTCGATTTGCTCCTGAAATAGCAATATCTTAAAAGAGGTTCTAAGCCGTCACACAATTTGGTGTGATTAATGCACGTTCAAATAATTATGTTCCGTTCCCTGAAAAACGAGAACTTTTGATAAATATTAATCCATCCCTGAAGTAAATGTGACAATATTAATAAAGCTCGTAAATATGAATGCGCTTTTGATGTGAATATATTACAATTCACCTCCAGAAGAGGTAATATGATTGAGGGAATATATACTCAATATTTCGTATTTTAAATTTGCTCCTGAAGAAGTAACACAATTGAAATTATCTCCTGAAGCAGGAAAATATTATGAAACTGTGTCTTTCTGTGCTTAAACAAAATAATAAGCTATTCAAAGTTATTTTTGAAGCACATTTTCATTCCCTGGAGTGAATGAAGAAATACCACAACTCACCTCCTGAAGAGCTAGAATAACAAAGGATATAAATCTTATTTTTGGATTTTGTTGTCACAGATCTATTGTATCTGAGCCGAGGATCTCTCGGAAACAGCCTCTCTACCCCTCTCTGGGGTAGGGGTAAGGTCTGCGTACACTCTATCCTCCCCAGACTCCACTGGTGGGATTTTACTGGGTTGTTGTTGCTGTTGTTGTGGTCCGAGGAGGGAGGGGTGTACACAAACCTTACCCCGATCTTATGTGAGGTAGAAAGGTTGTTCCTGATAGACTCTCAGTTCGGGACAAGTGTTTAAGAAATACAAGAGTAAATAAAACTAAGAAGAAAATACCGAAGAAAAAAAGGTACGAAATAGAAAGGCTAGTTCCAGTAGACATTGAACTTAAAATAAGTGTTTGAATCTAACTTTGAGAATCTAACTTTCCCTTTTTGTTCCTTTTCTTTTCTCTTTCTTTTTTTAATGTAGAATATCCTAAGTGGCATTGCTAACAACAACAATAAATGATGTCCAAGTAGGGTGGGGTGTATACAGACCTTAGCCTTACCTTATGTGAGGTAGAAGGATATTCTCGATAGACTCTCAGTTCAAGAAAAGTGTTTGAAAAATACAAAAGTAAAAAATTTAAGACGAAAATACCAAAAAAAGGTTGAAGGTAGAAAGGCTATTTCCAATAGGTCTTTAGCTCAAGACAAATGTTTGAAAAATATAAGAGTGGGATGAAAATACTGAAAGAAAAAAATAGTAACAATAAAAGAGTAACATGTCCAAGGTAAAAAAAAAAAAAAAAAAAAACACAATAGTGATAACATATGTGGCATTGTTAAAAAGGTTCATTAATTGAGTTGGGGTCATTATTAGAATTACAAAAAAGTTGGGGGTGCTTTTCAAACTCATTAAAATTCAATTAGCTGAGTTAGCTTACCTACTTGATTTTTCAATCAAATTTAATGAATTGTTGTCACGACCCCAGTTCACCCTCCATGAACATGTCGTGATGGCACCTAGTTCCTACAACTAGGTAAGCTTAACAGTGCGGAATAACAAATTAACATTTGCGGAATAGTTAATTAAAACTGAACAATGGAAATAACAACTGTATCCCAAAACCCGGAAACTCGCGGAAAACACAGGCTAATAGAATGTAGTAATCTGCTCTACACCAGAATGTCTAAACAACATGAAAGGAAAGAAAGGAACTATCTGCTAAAGCCGGAATAGAGTAGAGACTCCTGGTCTGCGGACGTAGCAGATATACCTCAAGTCTCAGCTAGGACTCTCCACCACGAGGATGATACGCCTGGGAGGAAGTACCTGGATCTGCACATGAAAAACATGCGCAGAAGAGGCGTGAGTACACCACAGCGGTACTCAGTAAGTGCCAAGCCTAACCTCGATTGGGTAGTGACGAGGAAGGTCAGGGCCCTACTGAGCTAAAACATAATAAATGATGAGATAACAGAAACAGTTTAAATAAAGTCTATAGCGAGAAACTAAACCAGGTAAATAAGGAAGAACAGTAATAGAAAGCAAAGGTAACAATACAAGGAAAACTGCCCTCAACAAGGAATAATAGCCGGGGATCTCTTGGTATCCTCATCATATACACGGGGGATCTCTCGGTATCCCGATCTCTTGGTATCCTCAATAAGTAAGCCGGGGATCTCTTGGTATCCCGAGGATCTCTTGTTATCCTCAATGAGTAAATCGGGGATCTCTTGGTATCCCAATGTATATAGAAACACATGTGCCAGGGATCTCTTGGTATCCCGCACCCTCAGTCCAGAATATCTCAAGTACAGGGGGATCTCCCGGGAAGCCGTCCCGTAGTCCCAAATTAAAACACACAACAACAACAGCTCATAATCTCAGGATAATGCTAAAAATCAGGACAAGAAATAGTAACTTTTGGCCTAACATGCTTCACAGAGTACAAATAGCACAGCTAAAACAAATAAGCAAGTAAGCCAGCTAAACATGAGTCTCTAAGCTAGCACAGGTATACTTACAGTCTAAAATGAACAAGTAACAGGAAATCTCAATTTAAATACTTCAAGTAGAAACGGGTTTACAACAATTAGCTCAAGTACGCGCTCGTCACCTCACGTACGAGGCATTCAAATATTCAAAGATCATGTCCTAAGGGGAAAGGTCCCCCACACAAGGTTAGACAAGCCACTTACCTCGAACCGGCTCAATATCAACTAGAAACCACGCTCTTGCCACGAGTATCCGACTCCAAATGGCTCAAATCTATTCAATTCAATTACACATTGTAAATAACATCGCAAACACCTGGTTTTGCTATTAAATATAAAGCTACGGCGTAAAATTAGGTGAAATGACCAAAATGCCCTTCAGGCCAACGCCTCGGAATCGAATAACTTTCACATTTTCAGAACCCTCGTACTCTCACGAGTCTAACCATATAAAAATCTCCCAAATCGGAGGTCAAATGCTCACTCAAAACCCAAAAGTTTGGCCTAAGAAGTTTTAACCAAATTCCTCAAATTTTAGTCCCAAATTCGAATTTTTAATGATGGATTTAACTACAAAATGATGAAATATAACTAGAAGAGATTAAGGAAACGTTACCCAATAATCTTCTCTTCAAAACCCACTCAAAATCGCCCTCTCCCGAGCTCTCAATTGATTTTTGTAACTTATGAACTCAAACCCTCGAAATTTCTATTTCTGCCCAGGGGTTTCCGCTTCTGCGGACAAGGGACCGCTTCTGCGGTCCCGCTTCTGCGGAAACCAAGCCGCTTCTGCGGTTTTC